AACTTTGGGGAAATCTTAGGTAAGATTTGCATGTGTGAGTGTACAACCAGACCTGGTTGATTCAAGGATAGCACATTAATTGCACTAATATCAATATGATAGCAAAATGCACTGGTTGAATTTCATTTACTCACAGTTGCAACTTTGGGGAAATCTAGATTAAGATTTGCATGTGTGAGTGTACAACCAGACCTGGTTGATTCAAGGATAGCACATTAATTGCACTAATATCAATATGATAGCAAAATGCACTACAAGTTGAAGATTAAAACAAAAATCAGAATACACAACAGCGACATGCAATGTCCGAAACTGTTACCTGGCACAAAAATAAACAAAACAAGCAGCCTGTCGGCTGAGATAGCTCCGCTGTTAGCAATGCACATGGCAATTAAAGAACAGAAGATATCATTAGAAAATGAACAAATCTGAGAGAGGTCCACATGTAGTATTTATATATGTAATATTAAAGCAATTGGACTTGCGGTTTTCAACAAGAAGTCGAAAATATCACTTTTTACCAAAAATTACAAAAATATTCACCGAAATTAGAGAATTAAAGATATCATTACAAAATGAACAAATCTGAGAGAGGTCCACATGTAGTACCTATATATGTAATATCAAAGCAATTGGACTTGCGGTTTTCAACAAGAAGTGGAAAATATCACTTTTTACCAAAAATTACAAAAATATTCACCAAAATTAGAGAATTGAAGATATCATTACAAAATGAACAAATCTGAGAGAGGTCGACATGTAGTACTTATATATGTAATATCAAAGCAATTGGACTTGCGGTTTTCAACAAGAAGTCGAAAATATCACTTTTTACCAAAAATGACAAAAATATTCACCAAAATTAGAGAATTAAAGATAACATTACAAAATGAACAAATCTGAGAGAGGTCCACATGTAGTACCTATATATGTAATATCAAAGCAATTGCACTTGCGGTTTTCAACAAGAAGTCGAAAATATCACTTTTTACTAAAAATGACAAAAATATTCACCAAAATTAGAGAATTGAAGATATCATCATGAAATGAACAAATCTGAGAGAGGTCTACCCAAGGTACATATACACCAAGTATCAAAGCATTCAGACTTGTAGTTTTCAAGAAGAAGTCGAAAAAGTAAAACATTGACACGGACGACGACGACGGACAATCACTCATATGATAAGCTCCGCTCGACAAAGTCGACAGCGGAGCTAAAAACAGAACGTTAAAATAACATAAGGATTGGTAGAAAAAATTCATGTAGTTTGTGTTTTTCAAAACACACTCTCAGATACTGTGTCACATGTCTAATTAGTTTAGGATTATTAGTATTAATAATGATAATAAACTTGTCAATATTGTTTTCGGACTGGAAAGTGGAGATTTCCTTGGTAAATTCAGTGTACATAATATCCCTTTCATCAGTGTAATAGCTACAGTCTGTAATAAAATGAACTTCGT